GTGATGTTGAGCATCTTTTCATGTGTTTGTTAGCCATCTGTATGTCTTCTTTGGAGAAATGTCTGTTTAGATCTTTGGCCCATTGTTTGATTGGGTCATTTATTTTTCTGGAATTGAGCTGCAGGAGTTGCTTCTGTATTTTTGAGATTAGTCTTTTGTCTGTTTCTTCATTTGCTATTATTTTCACCCATTCTAAAAATATGGAACGCTTCACGAATTTGCGTGTCATCTTTGCGCAGGGGCCATGCTAATCTTCTCTGTATCATTCCAATTGTAGTATATGTGCTGCCAAAGCAAGCACGAACTGTATTTTTTAAATATAAGCAATTTCAAGATAGCTCTGGTTCATTTAGGTAAACTGATGTATGCCTAGAAGGTTTACCTCCTACCTCTTTTTTTTTGCCTACTACTTCTCTATGAGTCTCTCTCCTCATCAGTATAACTAGAGGCACAGATGTAGAGAGCGGACTTGTGGACACAGTGGGGGTAAGGAGAGGGTGGGACGAATTGAGATAGTAGCATTAAAACGTGTACATGACCATATGTAAAACAGATAGCTAGTGGGAAGTTGGTGTATAACACATGGGGCTCAACCTGTTGCTTTGTGATGACCTAGAGGGCTAGGATCTAGGGGTGGGAGGGAGGCTCAAGAGAGAAGGTACACACACACACACACACACACACACACACACTCTTAATGACTGACTCATGTTGTGTGGCAGAAATGAACACAACATTGTAAAGCAGTTATCCTCCAATTAAAAAGAAAAAAGATTCATAACAGTAGGAGCCCGTCTAGGATCAAAAATGCTGGAGTGGGTTGCTATTTCCTTCTCCAGGGCCTCTTCCCGACCCAGGGATCAAACCTGGGTCTCCTGCATTGCAGGCAGATTCTTCAGCATCTGCACTACCAGGGAAGCCCAAAATGATTAGCACATAGTATGAAATCAATAAATATTTCTTAAATGAAAAATAATAAAATAAAGACAATAATACTATTCTGGTCACTTTACAATAAACATGAAGGTTCTTTGTAAGTCATTAGGTGCTACATAAATGTCAGACTTTATCACTGACCAACTGGATAGTAAACTTTGGTTTTACTCCCAGAATTTAGAAGAGTTGATGTTTAAAACGTGTTTGCTGGATTAATTAATCATAACAGAGAATCAGATACTTGAATTTTAATCCCAGTTCATTGCTTGACTGTGAATCCTGGGGTAAATTAATTCATTTTTTGGGTTTTAGTTAGATGATTTTCATGTAAGATCTCTAGTTTGTGTGGGCTCACAGCAGAAAGATTCCAGGGAATTCATGGGAGATAAATGGATTAGCACAACTGCAGTTACATCCTTTTTTCCAAACAGCAGCTTCAGCTTAGTCATAGAAGTGGCCTTAAGCCTGACCCTTTTTTGTACTCCAGAGGAAAGTAGTAATATTTCTTATTAGTCAAGAACTATAATCAGTTTCCTATGTAAACACATTTGTTGGAACTCTTTTGTGTTCTACAGTAACAATTTATGTGTGCTTTTCATTTAAGGTATACAGATAGAATCATATTCTCCATAGTGCCATTTTATGTTTCAGTTTATATAATAGGGCTTCTTCCTTGTGCCCTAGCCAATGGAAAATAACTGCCACTGATTTACAAGTTTTATTGAAATGAAAGATACAAACTATTGTTCATTTAGTGACTTCTTTAAGTAGGTGAATTAACCCATTAATAATTTAATTTGTTTTTAAGACTGCATTTCTGACTTTGGATTTAAAATAGTTTTAAAGATAAGTTAACATACAATAAAATGCACACATATTAGGTGGACAACTTGATGAATTTTGACAGTTGTCTACACCCATATAACACCATGGTAACACATTACCATGAGAAACAAAAAAGTAGAACATGTGCATTACCCTGGAAAGTTCCATTGTGCCCATTTCCAGTCAGTCTGCCCAGCCCCAATATCTGATGTAGATTAGTTTTAACAGTATTTGGTGTCATAAAAATTAAATCATTCAGTATCTACCTTTTGTATCTGCCTCGTTTGGCTGGCAGAAAATTTTTGAGATACATCCATGTTGTGGAGTAAATCATAAGTTCTTTTTCATGACTAAATATTCTATTCTTTCGATATAACATTTTAAAACCCATTCTCCTGTGGATGGATTTTGGATTGCTTCCAGTTTGGGACTGTTTTGAATAAGGCTACTTTAAACATTCTTATCTGTGACCTTTTATGGACATATGCTTTAGTTTTTCTTGAGTAAATACCCTGCTGGTTCCTCAGGATGTTTTATATGTAACTTTATATGAAATTGACAGTTTTTAAAAGTGGTTGGACCATTTTATATCCCACCAACATTGGATGAGAGTTCCAGCTGCTTCACTTCCTCACCAACATTAGCTGTTGCTAATCTTTTCTTATTTTTGTCATCCTATTAGACATGAAGTAGTATCTCACTGTGTTTTTCATTTGTATTTCTCTAATGACTAATGGTGTTGAGCATTTTTCATGTGGTTCTTTGTCTTTCATTTATGTTTCATGGGATGTTTGTTCAGTTCTTTTGCCCATTTTAGAAATTGCATCATTCTTTTTGTTGTTGATTTATGGGAGTTATTTCTATATTCTGGATATAAGTCCATTGTCAGATAGATGTGCTGCAGATTATTTACCAGTGTTTGATTCATTTATTTATTTTCTTCACTAAGTCTTTTATTGAACAGAAAGTTTTGCTTTTGATAAAGTCCAATTTACTCTTTTTTAATGGTGTGTGTGTGTGTGTGTGTGTGTGTGTGTGTGTGTATGTTTGGTCTGAGAAATCCTTCTTTACCTCAAGACTGTGAAAATATTGCCTTATATGTTCTGATATGAACTTTGTTCCTGAGTTTTATGTTTGGGTCTATAATCTCTTTAGAATTCATTTTTGAGCATATAATGAGATAGAAGTCAAGATTCATTTTTTGTTAGATAGGTATTTTACATGGTCCATACCATTTGGGGAGAAATAAAACTTCTTTCACCCCTGTTGAATTGCTTTGGCACCTTAGTTAAATTTCAGTTCTTTATATGTTTGTGATCTATTTCTAGACTCTGTTTTGTGCCACTGACCTATTTGACCGTGTTGATGCCAATATCACACTGTCTTGATTACTGCAAGTTTGTAAGTTATGGAATAATATAGTGTTAGTCCTTCAACTTTGTTCTTTTTCAAAGTCACTTTGGCTATTCTGTATCCTTTGATTTCCATATAGAATTTCAGATCATCTTTTTTCTTTCCTCAAAATATCCTGCTGGAAGCTTCTTTGAAATTTTGTTGTATTTATATATCACTACACGGAGAATGGATAGCTTTAACAATACTGAGTCTTTCAATCAAGTCTTGTTTAGGTTTTTAATTTCACCTAGCAATGTTTTGTGCTTTTTCAGAGGTGAAGTCCTTTCCTGGATATTTTGTTAGATAATGGATGTTCTGATGCTACTGGAAATAGTATTGTTTGGTTTTTTAATCTTATTTTTCAATTTGTTGTTGCTAGTATACATAAATACAGTGATTCTATATGTTGATCTTATGATCTGCAACCTTGCTAAATCCTCTTATTTGTTTTAGTAATTTGTATATTCCTTAGGATTTTCTACATACACCATCTTGTCATTTGCACAGAAAGACAAGTTTCACATTTCCTGATCTCTTTCCCTCCTCTCTTTCTCTCTTGCCTTATTACACTGGCTAGCACCTTCCGCATAATGTTGAATAGAAATGATAAGAGCAGACAGTTTGACTTGTTCCCAAATTTAGGAGAAGAGTGTTCAGCCTGCAGGTTTTTAATAAATGCTCTTTATCAGATTGAGAACAATCTCTTCGATTCCCTGTTCTGGGTGGATTCTTTTTTAACGTTGCAAAGGGATATTGAGTTTTTTCAAATTCTTTTTCTGCAACTATTGCGAGACATCACATTTTTTCTCTTTTACTCTGTTTACATGGCTCTTTCTGTTTATATTGGATTTTTTCCTAATTGTAAACCAACTTTACATTCCTGAGACAAACATTACTAGTTTTTGATAGATTTTTTTTTTTATTTCCCCAAAGTTCCTCCTTTCTACTGTTGATAGAAAATTTAACTATTAAATGTTAATATATAGATTATTCAAGTAGTAACATTTAATGAACATCTGTTTACTAATACCCTGCTACTGACTGAAAAAAACAATATAATAAATATATTGTCCCTACACTTAAAGAGTCACAGCCTATTTGTAAAGTCAGATACATATATAATGGGCAAGTATAGTGATAAATATCCACCCACTGTAGTATCATAGTAGGAAAAATCGGTCTCTTGTGTCACTACTCTGTTTATCAGGAGAAGGATCCTGGAAGAGGTGAAATCTAACTTTTCTTACAGGGTTAACTAAGTGAAAGGGATTGAAGGACACGAGGGTACAGATGGACAAAGGCACAAAGTTAAGACAACACCATGGTGCTTCAGAGAAACTAATAGTAGTTCATCACTGTTGGAGGAGCATAAAGTAGAAGGCTGAGCTTGATGAAGTATGATTTTATAAAATATCAGCCAGATCACTGCAAACCTTGTGTGCCAAATGAAGGAATTTGTCCTTAGTTCTGCAAATGATGGGGAGCCATCATGAGATTCTAAGGGAAGAGAGATGTAGTCTGGTTTGTATTTTAATCAAAACCTGCTGGCAGATTTGCGGAAGATAGATTTGAAGGTGCCAAGGCTGGAGGCAAGATGATCTGTTAGAAAACAATAATGGCGTCCTGAACCTTAGCAATGAGTGTAGAAATGGAGAGGAAGGGTCAGATTTGAGAAATATTTAGGAAGTAAAAGTGGCAGAACTTGGCGATGAACTGATTAGAGGTTGAGGCAAGACTTAGAGTGTATTAGTTTCCTAGAGTTGCCATAACAACGTACACAAGCTGGGTGGTTTAAAATAATAGAACTTTATGGTCTTACAGTTCTAAAGTCCAGAGGTTAGAAATCAAGGTGTCACCAGGGCCCTGTTCCCTCTGAGACTCTGGGTAGCAGCCTTCCTTGCCTCCTCCTCGCTCTGATGGTAGCTGTTGGCCTTGGATTTCCTTGGCTCGTAGCTACGTTACTCCAGTCACTGCCTCTGTAGTCACATGGTGTTCTCCCTGTTTGTCTCTGTCCTTTTGGAGTAAGGCTCACCCAGTAAATCACTCCTGTAAGTAAGTCACTCCAGTGTGCTGTCACCTTCACTCATCATTATCTCCAGTGACCCTATTTCCAAATAAGGTTACATTCTGAGGCACTGGGAGTTAGGGCTTCAGCTTATCTTTGTGAGGGACACAGTTCAACTTATAACAAAGAGCAAAGTCAAAATTGCTTTTAGTTTTTTAGTTCAGAGTCTATAGGATATGACCCCTGGCTAGGTAGGAAATGCAAGGGAAAGAGCTGGTTTAGAAAGAAGATGAATTCAGAATTGACTAGAGGAGATACATTAAGAGCCATTGTAGCAGTCAGTTTTATAGGTCTGAAATTCATCTCTTTAAGATAGAAACAAACTGTTAAGACTTATGGATAGCATGAGTAATTGGCATCATCTTTTCATTGTTGAGAACATGCTATGATGGTTGTTTTATAGTAGCGGTGATTATGGCAAGGTCAGAGATCTCTATCTTGAGGTATTATACTATCATTCTCACTGGTTTTAGAACCAACAGGAAGCATTATTGACCAAACTCACATCATTTTAATAAACCCTGATGTAACTGATGCAGCAGCTTGAAAATTGTGAACTTACCTAAAGACTCTGTGTGTAAATATAATTTTAGTAGAAAGCAAAAATCATGGACATTTATAGGCTTAGTGGAATTTACCCTGTTAGACATTTAATATCCTCAGTTTGGAAAAACATACCCCCTTTTAAAAGTATTTCTCAACATGTTAACCATTTGTTAGTTTGGTTAACATCTTTATTACATGCTAAACAAAGTAAATAGTAGTTTTCTATTGTCAATATTAATTTCATACTTTAAGAATGTGGTTTCAATTTCAGGTGTTTCAAGCATGTCATTTAGAATATATCATTACACAGCTGTACTCCTGTGCATTTCCTTAAATTTAGTACATTCTGTTTTTTATTCATTTGAAATAGTTCAAACTATATTTGTGCAGAGCTCAAGTATCTCTAATTCTTGATTGCATTTTTTCTCAATGCAGGAAGTTTTGCTGGAATTGCTAGAACAATGTGTGGATGGATTATGGAAAGCAGAGCGTTATGAAGTAATTTCTGAAATTTCCAAGTTGATCATTCCAATTTATGAGAAGCGTCGCGAGTTTGAGGTAAGTAACTGAAACATTTGCATCATTCACCTATGTATTTTATTTTGGTCTTAAATTACTACCTTAAAAAATTCTGAAAAGTCCTAAAATTCCAGTCCTACCTTATATTCATTTAAATTTTCCAAATGAAATTAAGGATGCAATGTTTAAAATAAAAATTAAAATTAACATTATGCCAGTTTTTCTCACAGCAGTTTTACCTAGCAATCTTCCCTTCTCCACTCATGACAGAGAACAATCCATGTTGTCTTCACAGACACCAAAAAAAGTTACTGGATTTCCATGTGGTCAGGGAAGAGATAAAGGTGTGAATCACTTCTTTTCAATTTGATGGTGAGGCTAAAGTTGCTAACAGATGATAGTGGGGGGATAATAAGTTACTTGGAATTACCTTTTTATGAGGAGCTTTTCCAGTTTTGTCTGCCATATAAATCTTTGATCAAGGGGAATTACTAAAAAATAGTAGTATAGCTGTTGCCACCAGCACTCAACAGGACTTTTTATATTCAAGACTCTGAGTCCATATCATAATTTTCTATCCCTGCTATGCTGGGAAGGGGTGATTTAGGACTCAAGCCATTTTTAAAAGCAAAGCAGTCTATCCTTAAATATATATAACAAGTAGCCTTTCATTGTTGAAATGTCCCAGAGTGAAAACATACATTTAATTTCATATGTGTAGTGTTCTAATCTCTTCTCCAAATTGGCTCTTATCAAACTCACTTTTTCTTCCTGGGTTCTGGGTCTTTCTACTCTTTGCCCTGCTTTTGGTATATATCAGGACATGCCTGAAAAATCATAGTGCAGCTCAAGTGATTATATTAAAAAGTGAGAGTTAAGTACGTAAATCTATGTCATACAGGTGACAAAAAATAACTTACGAGACAAGAGAAGAAGTGGCATTGCTCTCTCTGTCAAAGCATTGCATCCTAAGAACCTTTGTAAAAGTTCCAAAGTACCTACTCTCTTACTCTTAAGTTGAAGACCAGGTTATTAGAAACCCAGAGAACATTTTGCTACTCAATTGACTAATAGGGAAAAAAGAAAAATATATCTTCCCTACACATTAAAGGAAACAATAGGTTCTATTGGGGAACTGCTCCTATTTCCTTGTAGAAAGGCAAGGGTCTGTATAGATTCTGAAGCATCCTGCATGAGATGAAGTAATTTTTCAGTGTTCTTTATGGGATGGGCTGAAAAGTGTCAGCCACAGCAGCCATAAAGGAAGGAAAACTTCTCTCAAATTGACTTCAACTGCAGAAAATAGTATGGAAAGAAAGTATTGAAAGAAAGAACATCTGCTTCCGTGCTCCCCTTTTAGTATTGAAATGAATTCACCAGCATACAGTGAACCGTTTTCTAGTTTGCAGTTTAATGGCATTTAGCACATTCTTAATATTATGCTCTCACCACCTCTCTCTACGTTCAAAACATTTTTATCATCCCAGGAAAAACTCCATCTCCTTCAAGGAATCACTCTTCACCCCCTCCCTCACCCCACTGGTGACCACTAATCTGCTTTCCATCTATGGATTTGCCTATTCTGGATGTGTCATAATAAAGATGAATACAAGATGTGACCTTTTGTGTCTGGCTTCTTTTGCTTAGCATAATATTTAGAGGTTCATTCAAACTGTAACCTATATCAGCATTTCATTCCTTTTTCATGGCTGAGTGATAGTCCATGGTATAGCTATGCCAAAATCTGTTTGGATGTTTGGGTTGTTTTCACATTTTGGCTGTTATAAATAGTGCTGTTGTAAACAGCTATGAGTAAGTTTCTGTATGGGCATGTTTTTGTTTATCTTGGATAGATACCTAAGAGGGGAATTGCTGGGTCAGATAGTAATTCTATTTATAGCTTTTGAGAAACCACCAAATTGTTGTCCCTTTTACCTTCCCACCAGCACATCTGATTGGCACTTGTGTTTTGGGGTTCTTATTAGAACCTAGTGAATGTGCCATCCTAGTGAATGTGAAATGGTGTCACATTGTGGTTTTGATTTCCATTTCCTTAATGACTAAAGATTTTGAACAGCTTTTCATGTCTTTGTTGGCCATTTTTATATATTCTCTGGAGAGATGTCTATTCAAGTCCTTTGCTCACTTTTAAATTGGGTTGTCATTTCCTTGTTGAACTATGAGACTTCCTTATATTTTTTGGATATGAAAACATCAGATATGTGATTTGCAAACATTTTCTCCTGTTCCGTATGTTGTCTTTTCATATTCTAGATAATGTTCTTTGCACAGTGCATTCCCTTTTTCTGAGTGTGTAGAAGAATATATTCCTTGGAAGTATATGTGAACTTGTTATAAAATCATTCCTTACTCAGGCTTTTACTGTTATTTTTGTGTCTACATTTTACTTTCCACTCCTAAAGTGTTTGCATGATTGTTTATTCCCATCTCTACATTAGGGCTCTAGCAAAGCATTTTGCTTCTCTTTCAGTTACAATAATTCAGACATAAAGAAAAAAGTAGTCAATAACACAGTATTTTTAGTGTATATACTACCATTGAGATATGAATGACATGAACATGATATTTAGAATTACAGTGTTATTTGACCATTTTAAGCTCTACCCTCTCACCTAAAGTTGTTAAGGAGTTTTTTCTAACTGTGACCATGGGAGAAGGGAGTGCGAATGACCCCACCAAAACCATTTTGGAAAGAAAATAGTATTGCTTTTTGCCCCTTATGCATTTATCATAGACATTTCATAACTAACCAAAAGATAAAGCTAATTTGTTTATTCTCATATTTTCAGAAACTTACTCAAGTTTATAGAACTCTTCATGGAGCTTACACAAAAATTTTGGAGGTTATGCACACAAAGAAAAGACTTTTAGGCACTTTCTTCAGAGTTGCCTTTTATGGCCAAGTAAGTATACTTAGTTCATCAAGTTGTTTTCCTTTTTAAACATTCACCTTTGAATTATTAGATTACCACAGCAGCAGTTACTGGTTCTAGGATTCTGTCTAGATAAAGCACCTGTCACAACAGCAGGTGTGACACTTCTCAGAGTAACGTTCACTTCGGTGTCCGTATCTAAATCCACTAGGTCAGAGGGCAGCATATAAAATTTGAATGTTTCCGTCAGTTTCATTTCAGTCAAGCTTCTTAAATGTTTATTTAATACCCGGTACTGAAAGTTTTCAAATAAAAATCAGGTAAGTATGCAAATGATGAAAAATCGAGTGTTAAAAACCTTCAGGCCAATGATATGCTCATATGACTGTGAGTTTGAAAGTTCTCATTTATTTCAGCTACAATATCTGTATGTGGCTTTTAGTACTATTATTTAAAATCTATTTCAAGTACGTTATTGCTGATTACTTAGTGGATGTTCTGTAAATGCTGTATTTGCTCATAATACTTATAAATTATTGTATGTTTAACTTTATAATAGTCTTTTTTTGAAGAAGAGGATGGAAAGGAGTACATCTATAAAGAGCCAAAGCTCACCGGCCTCTCAGAGATTTCCCTGAGACTTGTTAAACTTTATGGTGAAAAATTTGGTACAGAAAATGTCAAAATAATTCAGGATTCAGACAAGGTAACATGCCCTGCATTTCAAAATCATTATTTATTAGTTCCAAATGTGGCACATTGCTTCTGACTTTTTCCTTTTTTAGCTGGTGGAGGAGAGGCATGGGAAATAGAGTCTTTCCAGATCCTGAAAGAAAGGACAGGGGCTTTGGAATCAGAAAGAAGGATTCAAATCTCCATTCTCTGCCACTTGCTAGCTGTGTGAACATGGGGAATTTACTTAACCTCTCTTTGTCTCATTGTTCTCATTAGTAAAATGAACTTAATAATAGTGCCTTCCTCATAGAGCTGTTGTTGGGATTAAATTAGTTAATGTATGGAAAGTGATTAGAGTTCTTGATACATAAAAAAGCCTTCAATAACAACATAGAAGCTAGCATTTTCTATAAATGTTAGCCATTATTGTTACCACTGTTGTGCCTCATGATTGTCAATTTCATACTGTATGATTAAAATCATCTTATGTGGGACATCCCTAGTGGTCCAGTGGGTAAAAGTCTGCCTGCCAATGCAGGAGACACAGGTTCGACCCCTGGTCCAGGAGGATTCCACATGCTGTGGGGAAACTAAACCTGTGTACCACAGCTACTGCACTGGTTCTCTAAATCCCAGACATCACAACTAGAGAGTACTCACTGCTCATTGCAACTAGAGAAAGTCTACAAGCCACAGCAAAGAAGATCAAGTGCAGCCAAAATTAAAAATAAATAGATAAGTGAGATTTTTTTTAATCATCATATGACACACATTTCACTCTTAAGATAGCCTTAGTTCAGTAGTTATTTTTGCAGTGATTTCGGTTTAGGAGAGATGCCTTGATGTAAAGATGATCCATCCCACTAGACCCTGCCAAGGCAAGGATGAGAAAGGATCCAGCAAGAGAGGCTGTTTCTTAGAAACGCATAGTTCCTTATAGACAGAATTGCGGAAGAGCACAATGGGAATGATTGATTGTCCTTAGTCACCATGGGCATGTTCAGGATGAGAGCTGAATTTTAAGGTAGGAAAGACCTTTAACCCAGTGCAAGATAGGTTTAGGAGAGATGCCTTGATGTAAAGATGATCCATCCCACTAGACCCTGCCAAGGCAAGGATGAGAAAGGATCCAGCAAGAGAGGCTGTTTCTTAGAAACGCATAGTTCCTTATAGACAGAATTTTGGAAGAGCACAATGGGAATAGAATTCCTGATTCTCCTTAGTCACCATGGGCATGTTCAGGATGAGAGCTGAATTTTAAGGTAGGAAAGACCTTTAACACAGTGCAAGATCTGCAGGCCCCAGAAATACGTACCGAGTGACTGTGATGTGCATGATGCCCTGCAAAACACTTAATAGCCAACAGGCAGCATTGCCAGAGTGAAAAGCCCCTGGCGATGGTAAAGACACTTCATTTTCTACGATGAAAATGATCTCTTCACTTTGTAAATTTATATATAGGAGATGATTTTATCTTGAACATATGCCTTAAACATTTAAAAATAAGTATGCTGGCAGGTCCAGAATTCATTAATACTTGGCAAAACCTCTCTGTTTCTTATCAGTTTCAGTCTTCTGTGTTGTTTTATTGAATTAAGACCACAGAAAATTTTCTCTTTTGTAGCCAGCAAGTTTTAGGCTTCTTGCCACACTACTGATACTATAAATGGAAAGTTATTAGAAAGCCAGGCTTGCAGAAAAACGTGCAGTTTTCTACTTTATTCTACCTCTGAAAATCTGTCCAACAGGCACTAATGACAAACCACCATCAGGCAGCTGGACTCCTGACCCTCTTTGTAAACACAATATTTTAGTCACTCTTTATAGGCAATAGATAAAAGAAACAGTTGCTACTTTTAAAATCCTTCTTCTTTCTAAATGTGTGGAGTTTAAAATTTTAAACATGCTTTTACTTGCCAAAGAACAAAATCTGCTTAAGGGCACAGTGTAAAGAACAATGGGCAATATTTTCTAGTATTTTAAATGTACGTTTCCTGGACCCAATAATTTCACATTTAAGATTTTATCCTGTAGATGTACACACATAAAAATGTATGTTTAAGATGTTTATTGCCCTTAAGTTTATACAGCAAAACCTCGAAACAATCTAATGTCTATATGGTTAAGGACATGGTACTGCCTTCATAAAGGATGTAACTAAACTACTTAAAATATTTATAAGTTTGGATGTAAACCAATCAAAACATATTCTTTTTTATATAAATTTATTTATTTTAATTGGAGGCTAATTACTTTACAATATTGTAGTGGTTTTGCCATACATTGATATGAATATATTCTTGACAGAATATATTCTTGAGAGAAAAAGGTGAGGTACAGACATTATGGGCAGGATGATTAAATTTGTGAAAACTGATATTTACATACACTCGTGTATGCTTAGGAAACTTCTGGAATTATACAAAGTTCCTTTTTTAAATTTACTTATTTTAATTGAAGGATAATTACTTTACAATATTCTGATTGTTTTTGCCATACATCAATATGAATTGGCCATAGATGGAATGATACAAAAGTGTTAACCATGTTATCTCAAAGGAGAGAGTCTAGAGTCTTATGGAGAAAAAAACCACTTTTTACTTTTCAAGTGTACTTTTTGAATTTTTTACCATATACTTAGTTCATTTTTATAAAGTTAAAATCAGTCTTGACCTCTTTTTTATTTCTCTTCTATGTTTTGTCTTATTTAGATAATTAGCTTCAACTATTTCCTGAGGTTTCTCTGGAGAAATCTAGATATTTATTGGGAAAGAAAATAAAGAATTTTTGAATATAGGCTTTTTGAAAAAGTTTTAAAAGCTACTAAGAAAGTTTCTATCCCTCCTTGTCACAGTATTGAATATGATGTTTGCTGTGGGTTTTTCACAGTGGCCCTTGATAGGAATGTAGTCGTTTCTTTCTATTCCTAATTTGTTGAATGTTTTCATTATGAAAAGGTGTTGAATCTTGTCAGATGCATTTTCTGCATTGATTGATATGATCGTGTGTGTTTTTTTTTTCTTCCTTCATTCTGTTAATGCAGTGTATTTTCCCCTGCACTGGATGAAGGATTCTTAATCACTGGACCACCAGGAAAGTCCCCTATACTAATAATTTTTTAACGTGTTAATCTCTTACATCATGTAGAAATAAAAAAGAATTGTGTTACTATTGTTCTGTTAATACTAGATTTTATCATTACCCATGTATTTATCTTTACTGAGACCTTAATACAGCTTTGATTTACTGTGTGATGTTCTTTCATTGTGACCAGCAAGATTGCCTGTGGCATTTCATATGGGGCAGGTCTAGTGGTGACAAACTCCTTCAGCTTTTCTTTATCTGGGAATGTCTTAATTTTCCCCTCACTTTTAAGGACAGTTTTGCCAGGTATCAGTTCAGTTCAGTCACTCAGTCGTGTCTGACTCTTTGCGACCCCATGAACTGCAGCACACCAGGCCTCTCTGTCCATCACCAACTCCTGGAGTTGGCTCAAACTCACGTCCATTGAGTCAGTG